TGCCATTACCCTTATTACCTTCCATTAAGCAGACGAAACTGAGGGGAGGGGGGGAAGGAAGAATAAAAGCTGGGTCATTAAACACTATTTCCTACTGGATTAGTGGATTAGTGTGTCGGTTTTCTTGATTTATTATTAACGTTAGAGGGTTGGTTCAGATATTGTGACCAAATAGCTATTACTGTATATCGGTAGCTTCAATGGGACAAAATATCAGGTCCATACATGAAGGTTCAATTAAACTATTGCTAATTGTGCCTATGCACAGGAATCTTCTCAACTAATGTTTGGAGTTAGAAAAGAGTCAACAGAATTCAAGAGGGGAGGGGGTTGAACTTAATCCACTTGTGGCTATGTGTGTATTCTAGGCTGATCCCTCTTTTAACTCCAACCCCCAGATCTGCCTCTCCTTCTCCTACAATAATAAGCTTTTCATGTATGCCAGCACATTGGCATACTGGAGATTTTGTGACAGTGGGTGCTGAGACATTGTGGAACTAGAAGAAGCACCCCTCAACTCTGAAATGTCTGCACGCTGAGATGAGACAAGGTGCTAAGATGAGATGACATGAGCTACTAGCTCCAAATAGAGTAACTTCTTCAGCGATGCTTCTTCAATTACCAGCAATCTCTTCTTAATGAAAAGGACTTTCTCTCCAGGTACCTCCTTTGCTGAACAATTATGCTGATTGTGGTTTGTTTAAATAGCAATAGCATTTAGACTTATATGCTGCTTTACAGTGCTTTGCAGCCCTCTCTAAGCAGTTTACAGAGTCAGCCTATTGCCCCCAACAATCTGGGTCCTCATTTTACCCACTTCAGAAGGTTGGAAGGCTGAGTCAACTTTGAGCCTGGTGAGATTTGAACTGCCAAATTGCAAGCAGCCAGCACTCAGCAGAAGTAGCTTGCAGTAATGTATTTTAACCACTACGTCACAACAGTACTTAAATATTTGAGTCCCATTGTTTATTTTCAGTTATACCTCCTGGCATACGTCTACTTGACTTCAGGAACAGGGGTAGAATTGCCTAGTTTAACATTAGGTTCAAATTTTGTTTTTAGCCATGCAACTTACTAGGTAATAATTAATCACATTTTGACTAACCAATCTCACAAGGCTGTGTAAAGATTGAAATAACATATGTGACCACACTTGGTTGGCATGAAACTATAGCAGCGTATCATAGCAATGGAATAAATAAAGGCATATTAAAATCTGCTTGCAAACACCCCAGATGGAAGAATAGATCTTTCATTAAAACAAAGAAATATTGTGTTGTGCAAATGAATCCTAGCAGGCTTTCTGACTTGGTTTCTAGAATCTAGGATATCTGGTTTACCCCTAGGCAATAAAATGTTGTACAAATTCAATTTTCATCAGATATGCTATCTTAATTATGCCCCAGAGACAGATTAAAGTTTAGCATGGGCCCTGTCTCAAGGGAGCTAATTGTTTTGAGACTTCAATTAACTTTTTGCCCATTCTCACCAAGTCTTTATAGCTCTTATAAGGTGAGGGTAGTGGCTCATTTGTATTAGCCTTTCATTTGGCAACACAATATTATTCCTTCTATTTATTTATTTTTGCTCACCCTCAAAGTGGTCAGCACTTTGGGTGAATAAGAACCTATTCTTATTCAATATTTCCCAATGTTGCCAGTAGCAAAGCTGCAAAGGGCAGACAGCTGGAATGGCAAGCCTCGATTCTACCCTAACATCAAGATCAACTGAGAAAGAGATTTCAATGCAGGGAGTATCCAGATTGTTCAGCAGCAATTTCCCATTTCACTATTTTAGCCAGTGACAAACAAGACAGCCACATTCGGGGGTTAGCATGCTAGACGATCCAGATTAATACTTTACTCTCTTTCCAACTGAAATGGCTTTAGCCACAAATAAAACACATAACTTTTTTTTTATAATTGTGAAATATCAATAGTGGGAAGAGGAAACACGCAAGTGTTACCTTTGAACAGAGAAAGGGATTCACTGGGTTGTAGGAAGCCACATTTGTCCAACCAGACTATTTGTCCACTTAAAACTGATTTTTAAAGTCAAGTGGAGCTCAACTCCTACTGACACAGCTATGTAGTTTTCTTCTTTCTTCCAATCTAGTCTAATCTAAGATTTCCTGGGTCCAAATATTTACCAGATTCAAGCCTGCTTTCCCTCCCAAAAAAACCCACCCATGTTCTACAAGATGCTGCCATGAGCAGAAACTTTGTCCATGCGGCCACCTTGATTTATTACATTAGGCAATGGTTCTTCAGGATTTTAGATAGATAGAGGCCACCCCCAACCTGTCTCAGGAGACCAGTGGTCAAATCTGGGAACTTCTGCAGGCATTCTTCAATAGAGCTCTTCAAACAAGACAAGTCACAATCACACACACACACACACACACACACACCACCGATCCTGAGAGGAGCAAGGAGAAGCAAAGAATATCCTTCTCTTATGAAGCAAGTAAGTGTTTATAACAGGGGTGGGGAATGATGGCCCCTTTATGATTTGTGGACTTTAACTCCCAGAATTCCCGAGCCAGCCATTTCTGGAAGTTGAAGTCCACAAATCATAAAGGGTCCATCATTCCCCACCTCTTGGCTTATAAGCAGGGAAAAGGTATTTTCCTTAATGTTCCTATATAAGAATGCCCGTATCTGGGAAATATGGGGATAATTGATCCCACCATGACAGGTCAGAGGCCACCCCATAACGTGGCTGCCTGATCTTTCCCTTGCCCTCAGCAGATATACAGTGCACACCATGAAGAATATTGCTCTAGATTTATGGGCTAAATATAGAGCCCAGCTTACCAGGTTTTAAACAGACACTCATCACCACTGGCAGCAAGATTACTTAAGGAAGGATAATAAGCCATCTCTAGGCCTAGTCAGCCTGCTTCAATAGGAGTTTCTGGGTTCAGCCACTCGCAGGAACTATATCAGTAAATTACCTCAGAAATCTATAGATGGACTCTGCCTTTCAGCAAGTCCAATAGAATAACAATAGCTCACCAGCAGAAAGAAATAGTGATTTGTTTAGCTACAAGTGAGTCTGTGGCTAAACTTTGTGTAAGAATACATACACTTCATGTTTCTTCTAAATATTTATTGAGATACTTCTGTGGGTCTTGAGAGAAATTGTACCTTAAATACTACTTTTTTTCCCCACGTGGGCATTTTTACATGTCAGTGTTAAAAGATTCATAAGCACCATATGCATTGTGTTTCTTGTTAGAAGGGGGCTTCAACTCCATGGTAAAAACATAGCACTCTGTAAGTACCACCCAATCTATAAATGCAAACAAGGAATATACAGCACAAGCCACAGGGCAAAATCACTGGATGGTGGCCTTAAACACAGCAGAAGAGCTTGTTCCATCCATTCTAAAGGCCAATTTGTAGCTTACCTGTGCACAGTGGAGATCCTGTTTGCATCAGATATTCCAGAGAAATAATAAATTATAATAAACTATAGTGTGTTGCTTTTAAAAACCCGAAGTTTCAAGATCCTCTGCTGTAGTTAATCAGCAAAAATACATTTAAGGGCTACTGATATATTAATAAGCACCCCTACCAAATTGGTTGTGACCTCCTATTGTAGAGATGTTTGTTATTATTGGAGCTACAAGGGCCTCCGGCCCACCTCAACCCATCTCAAAATGGTGTCCTGGAGGCTGTCAAATCCCCAGACTCTGACCAGCATCTTCTTTCTAAAACTCTGCTTTCTGAACAGGTCACAAACTCCACCTGCTTATGAAACAACCATGGCTTGTCATCATGGGGTTCTTGTCATGTGTGGGACCACAATATGGGTAGTCCTCAACTTATGACCACAAATTGAACCCAAAATTTATGTTGTTAAGTGAGACATTTTAAAGTGAGTTTTGCCCCATTTTATGACCTTTCTTGCCACAGTTAAATGAATTGCCACAGTTGACAAGTTAATAACAGGGTTGTTAAGTGAATCTGGCTTTCCCATTGACTTTTCTTGTCAAAAGGGGATCACATGATCTTGGGACACAACAACGGTCATAAGTATGAGCTACTTGCCAAGCATTTTAATATTGATCGCATGATCATGGGGGTGCTACAAAGGTCATAGGCGTGAAAAACGGTCATGTCACTTTTTTCAGTGCCGTTGTAACTTTGAACGGTCAGTAAAAGATCTGTTGTAAGTCGAGGACTACCTGTATCCCTGTGGTGGTGTTTCCATTTCCACATGTGCAGATTGGCTGTAGCTGTACTTCAGTCTGCCGCACACAATGGAATAATAAGACTTAAAATATTTACATACTACTATAAAATATTTGGGCCTGAGGGAACCGAACACTTAAGCCTGTTGTCAGGATTCCGGCAGTTGCCCGAACTGCTCCTTCAAATTTCTCCCTCTCCCCCTGTTCATGGCCACTCTAAAACAGGCATAGAAATGTTTTATGAGTTGATACCTGTATTGAGAGAAATTGGTGACTAGGTGGCCTGCTGGGTTAAATCAGTGTAAATATCTAATATTGATCTGCCTCATATATGGCTGGAACTTCAAACATGGACATTTTATCAGCCCTTATTCTTGGCTTCCTTTTCTCACATTTTTAAATAATGTCAAGTTTACTTCAGTATCAGAATGCCCTGCCAAAGAAACTGACTCCAGGAGGATGAATTTAAGTTTTCTTTCCAGGAGTTCTACAAAATATGAATTCTACAGAAAGGCAAAACTATCTTGAACACATTCAGCTCCTTGCTTTTTAAGGTCATCCCTCTGGAGGGAAAATCTCAGTCAACAACGGGAAACATTAAAGCGACACCCCAAAACACAACAAAGTAGAGAGTAAAGGGAGAACCCAGAACATACTATAAAAACCCAACTGGTTGGACCAACAACCACACAAAAGGTCATACATCACAGGACACTCAGGAATTCCTCCCTGATGGAGAGACGTATTTGATCTCCCTCATTTAACAGGTGTTAAAACAAACATTTCCAAGTTGTTCACCTACCTGATCAAAGAGAGCTTTCCAGTGCTGGGAAGTTAGAGGGCAAGGCATGAAGGAAAGAAAAAAAAGAGAGAAGGGGAAGAAAATGTAAGAACAAGGAAATGCAATGCATGTCAGAACTCTGCTTGAAAGAAACAAAATACGACATAGGGAATATAGGAAAGGGAAGATCTGCTTATTTTAGTCTAATCTGGGGTGGGGAGAGTGTGGGAGGAGGATGTACAGGCGATATCCCTCATTCCCAGAGAATTATTTCCACCCCAAACTGCACACGCCCAAACTCTCCACAGCCACATGCAGAAGCTTTTTTTTGGTAGAGCATGGCTTTCATTTGCAGAGTATTCTGCAGATAGTTAATTTCAGTACAGCTTTATTGACTTTTAAAAAATGGTTTATTTATATCTTGCAGAGAGTTTCGTTTCTTTCAGTAGGGACACCGTGGCAAAGATCATTATTCGTTTGCTTGTTTGCTTGCTTATTTATTCCTATTCGCCCCCCTGCGACCCGACAGCATATGTGATCTACAATACAGCAACAAAGGGGGCTTTCTGTTTTCAGCTCCCTTCCCCTCTCAGAAGTGGGGGACAAAGAATAGTTTCTTCCTAGATGCTCTACAAGTCAGGCCCCACAAGAGGACGTAGCAGCACTCCATTGTATACTTCAGAACCCTTTCAACTTCGAGGTGCGAAGACCCAGAAGTATAGGTAGTTCTCACTTAATGACATTAATAAAGACTGGCAACTCCAAGAATGTTACCATAGGAATAGTACATAAAAGGAAAGAAAGACAAATGTAAATATCAATATAAAATTATGAAAGACACTGATGCTGAACTGCTGTAAAGATTGGAAATGTGGTGTACGTGTTGGGAAATACGTAATAAAAATCAATAATAATGAAAGACTGGCAACTCCATATAGGTATAGGTAGCCCTCACTTAATAACAGTAATTGGCAACTCCATCACTAAATGACATGCTCATATAGTACAATGTGATGTGACTGTGCTAACAGCAGTTGAGGTAGTTCTAGTTGCTGTCATTGAGTGAATCTCACACCGTCATTAAGCGTGCTGTCATGTGATCATAATTTGAGCCTCCCCACCAGCTTCCCCACTGCTTGTTGGAAGCTGGCAGTGAAGGTCGCAAGTGGACTTCATGGGACCTGTGGTCTCGTGACTGTCATAATTGAGATCTGATGCCAAGCCCCCGAATCATGATCACGGTTGCAACTATGAGGACCGGCCATAAGTCTCTTGTTCAGTGCTGTTTGAATGGTTGCTGAACAAGTAGTCATAAAGCAAGGGCTACCTGTGTTAGGGGGAAATGCAAATTCCTTTCTTTTCCATTCTTTTATGTTCTTCTGTTAGTTCTGCGATATTTTCAGGCCTTTGGAGGGAACCTCACACTTCCATTTTTCAATTCTTTACTATTGTTTTTTTTCTTCTTCTTCCAGCGTTAATGCACAACTCGTGTCAATTTTTACATAGTTGCGTGGACTCAGGAGGTGATAATTAAAGTACTACTTTTACATTGGTTGCAAGAAGAATAGCAATGCAAGAACTTGCATCACAAATGAGAAAGACCAGCAGATGCCACAATAAGAAAACCGTACATCTGCCAGTCAAATCTGCGACAAGTGGTTGGCCTGCTTCAAAAAGCATTTACACATTAACAACAATCAAGTTCTTCCCTAAGTGAATATTCAATTATATAAAATTTCTACTTGTCGCTGTAAATCTTCCCAGTGATTTACCATTCACTCTCAGTTCTCTTTAATGTGCTTCCAGAGGCTGCCAGACGAGGTTGCAATATTACAGCTCAGTCTCTATTGCAAAACTTTCCTGGTAGGGCATTATTACCGGCTCCTGCCAGGATTACTGTCACCCACCACTTTTGGCCATAAGGCCATATTGTCATAGGTGAAAATGCCCAAATACAGGATTGGTGGGAAAATGCCTACACAAAACCTTCAACGATATAGGTAGTTCTCCCTTAGCAACTCTTCAAAGTTATGATGGACCTTCAAAGTTCCAATGCCTGCAATCTCCTCCCCCACCCCATAGACATGTGATCACATTTTGGATGCTTGGCAAATGGCTTGCATTTATGGCTGTATGTATGGCACCCCATGGTCACATTATCACCATTTTTGGCTGATTTCCGGTGTTTACTTCCGGTTTCTGGCAAAACACACACATTGAAGAAAAGGGGGTTCATTTAATGACCGCCACAGAAAATGTTGTAAAATTGAGCACGGTCATTTGGTGACTGCTTAATGCCTGCCATGACTTATGATTATAAATCCAAACCCGATTACATTCATAAGGCAAGAACTACCTGAATTTCATAGGCATTAATACAATTGGATACCACTTTGACAAACAGCATCAGTGCTTCTCTCTCTCCTTCCCTCCATCTCTTTCTCCCTCTCACCGCTCTTTTTTCTCTCCCTCCCCTCCTCCCTTTCTTCTTCTCTCCCTCCCTCCCTCCCTCCCTCCCCCTCTCTCTCTCACACACACAGAGATCATAGCATCTTTCATATATGTTGACACCCAGCTTCTAAAATCCTCCACTTTTGAGCTGCATTCTCTTGAAATTCTGAGGAAATTCACTCCTCACACCTTTGGAGGGACCTTTAATGCTTTCTACATAGATCACTGTCTTTACTATCCTAGTCCTAGAGCCATCTTTAATACTAACCTTCAACCTGAGGGCCTGTTTAATATAATTCTACTCACATGTCCATCATTCCCTTCTAGAATGAACAGATGAAGGGGAAGTTTCCTGCATCTATCCCAATTTTGCAGAAGATGTATTTTGATGGAGACAGTTTGCTACTCTGACAATTCCCAGTCTTCATTTGTTTTTGCTATTTAAAAACTGTCTCACTGGTACAAACCTATAAAGAGCCAAATGCAAATTACTTATTTGTATTCTGCCTTTATTATTGAGTAAATAAGTTAATAACTCAAGGAAGCACTCATACCTAGTACTACTTCTCCCTCCTATTTTCTCCACAACAGCCCTGCAGGGTGGATTGGACTGAGAGAGAAGAACTGGTCCAAAGTCACACAGTTTGCTTTCATGCCTCAGGTAGGACTAGAACTCATAGTCTCCTGGTTTTTAGCCTGGTGCCTTAACCACTAGAGCAGACTCACTTTCCCAGTTTATAAACTAAACTCATAACCTCCCAACTTATAAACTAAACACTATTTGAGGGCTTGGAAGACATGATACTGTCAACATTTAACATGAATGGAAGCGGGTCCCAAGGGCAAGAAAGCTGCTATTTTTCAATCAAATATATGGATGCTAATCCTGGCTGCCATGTAGAATCTGCCAACCAGGTATTAAACCTTCTAGGAAAGACTCGGCCCCTTTTCTTCAGCCTTGCTCTCCCAGGATTTCCAATATTTGCAGAGAGCATCAGCCTGCCAAAGGCTTCGCTGGTGTGTCTGTCAAGTAAGCAGACACACCCACACACTGACCCAAATCAGAAGCTGAACTAGGGTCGTATCGAAGCCTCGTGGGACTTAATTCCTGCTGAGCTGAGCTGCGCTGCTCACGCGAACTGGTTGTCTGAAGAGTAAGAGAAGGTCATATGTTTATCTATAATGGATAAGCAATAATGGACCTCTGGCACGATCTGATTGCTGACGATAATAGAATAAATGAATTCATCATTCTTGGGCTCTGGGAAAGTCAGAATCTGAATTTGCATGAATCGTGGTTGCAAACACAGCACGAAAGGAGCAAGTGAGAAAGGGCCCACTGCTTGATGCCAGAGCACATGCTTTGCCCTTGAAAGAGCTCTGGTTTTTCTCCAATTTAACTATCATCCAGTGCTCCAGTGGAACCCATGAAGGGCAATCTCACTTTTACAGAAGTGACAGACCAACTTTGCAAGCGTGAGTTCCAAGTGTGAAAAAGGATCCGTCACTATTTAGCCAAAAGTGCTGCCTGCTTGCTCCATTCTAGTGTTTTTTTTCTTCACTCCTTCATACATCCCAAAGTTATCCTGCAGCCCACAAAATCTCCACCCTGGAACTCTCATCTGGACACTGACAGGGCAAGGCTCATTTGCATCCAGAATACAGGAGGCCCTCAACTTACGACCACAATTGAGCCCAAAATTTCTGTTGCTAAGCGAGAAATCTGTTAAGTAAATTTTTTCCCCCATTTTACGGCTTTTCTTGCCACGTTTGTTTAGTGAATCACTGCAGTTATTAAATTAGTAACGCGGTTGTTAAGTGAATCTGGATTTCCCCATTGACTTTGCTGGACTGAAGGTCGCAAAAAGATTATCAGGTCGCCCTGGGACACTGCAACCGTCACGAATATGGACCACTTATCAATCACGTGACCTTGGGGATGCTGCAATGGTCATAAGTGTGAAAAACTTTTTTTCAGCGCGGTGGTAACTGCGAACTGTCACTAAATGAACTGTTGTAAGTTGAGGGCTATCTGTATATTTCCCGTAGCTTGATCTTTCTAATCCTGAAAAGCTTTTGAGTCAGCAGTGAAATCCCTCTGATGGAAAAAAAGGGACTCTGTTCTTTATGAGATGATGTTAGGGAAGAGGCAGGGAGGAAAAAGCACGTGCAAAACCAGGCTGCAATCTCTTCTTTTTGCCAGGAAAAAAAGACTGAAGTGGAATGCTAATCAAAAGATGCCATTACTGACAGAACATCCTCTGGATCTCTCCCACAGAATCCCTCAGGCCTGGGCCTTTGACAGCCTTTAATGGAAGGCAATCTTTAATTTGCTACAAAAACCTTCAGCGGATGATTTTTGACCAGCAAGGACCTGTCAAAAATTCCAAGAACTTTTGCATTTTTCCCTTAGTCACTGATCGGTTCCCGGCGATGAAGTTGTTGCAGATTTCATCTTACTATCTCACATTGCTTTTAACGTCTCTGCAGTGGAAAAAGGAACACACCCACCGAGGCTAGCCCAGTATTTGCAAGATGGAATTCAAAAAACAAGATTGGAGACACTTTAAACGCTAGACGTTCAGGGAGCTATAATTAGGGAGGGTTAAAAGCTGGTTTGCTTCTGAAAGGCTGGTTCCGGTCTCTTGTGTAATATTAAATGCAGCTTCTTCTCTCTAATTACATGTATTGTTAAACACAGCTTTCCCAGGTAATAATATCAGGCTTTATGATTACTCCCTGGGAAAGAAATCCAGCAAGTCAAATGTCTTTAAATATTAAGGATGGGTACAAGAGTTAAGGAATCTGATACTTCCACTGGGACTGTGTACAAAATCCTCCTGTAATCACCCTATATTCCTGGGAAATCTGAATTCTGGGCCAACATGGACCTCAGTCTTGCAAAGAACTAGGCGGGGCGGGGGGGATTAAACCATCACCAAACCTCCCTTCTCTTAGCTAATATAAGCCTATGACAGGAGACTATCGGCTTCTTGGTCTCAAAAATGCATTGCATGACTTGAAAAATTTGGAAGCACCGCTGGGCTTTGGGGTCTTTCATGCCTTATTTTTAAATGCTTTATGTTACTGCTCTCTCAATGACAATCTTAGCCAATCACAGCAATAGGGCAGGTACAACTCTCTGAACTACTGCAGGAATCTAAAGTCACTTATTTTGCTCACTCATCTAGATCAGGGGTCTCCAACCATGGCAACTTTAAGACTTGTGGACTTCAACTCCC